AGTTGTGGGTGCCCCATCATTGGAAGTGTTCAAGACGGGACAAGTCAAGTGTTGGACGGGGCTCTGAGCAACCTGATCTAGTTGAAGATGTCCCTGCTCATTGCAGGCAGGTTGGACTAGATGATCTTTAAAGGTCCCTTCCTACCCAAACTATTCCATGACTCTCTGAATTCCTGTAGGTTTCGTTTGCCATATGTAAAGTGTTATATAGCACCTTCCTTCCTTACCATCCTTTGGAAGGTGTTACCCACTTTCTGTAGGCTTTTAGTTTCTAAGTTGTTAGGCTGCACCTCTGCCAGAGAGGTAACATGCCTGGGCCTGAGAGCAAACTCTCCTGGCCCTGGGACCTGCCCTCAGGGAACGGCCTCTCTCCTGTGTTCCTAAGCTGCCTCCATGGATGTTTAATTTACATGGGAGACGTGGCCCTAGGGTATGTCTATGCTGTGCAGGTAAAAGCCCTCTCAAGGTCAGGTTGAGCTCAGCACAGGTTTTCCCAGTGCTGGCTGCACAAAGCTTGTCTGGGATCTTCCTCCCGAGGATGCCAAGCCTGCACTAGGGTCTGTGCTGCCGGACAGGTTAGCAGCGTGTGTGCATTTGGGAATGTGCTTGTCACTGGTCTTTGCTCCCTTTCAATACCGTTCCATCCCACAGTGGATGCATCGGGTAAAGTGCAAGAGCTGGGATGGGAGCATGGGGCTGTGTGTGCGCTGCATCTGGGTGGCTGCAGGGCCCCATTTGCTTTCCCTCTAGTTTGGAAAGAAGATACAGCTGAATTGCTTGCTTTCCTCACCGTTGTGTGGTTTGGTGGGGACAAGCTTGTTAGAGCAGTGCTGTTCCCTTTTAGGGCAGGGCTTTAAAATTGCCTTAGCTTTTTATCTTATTCTGCTGTGGTTGAAGGCAATGATGAGTTATTGTCAGTAGAATTAGACCAACACTGAGAGCTTTTGATAACCCCGCTTTCAGAAGCCATGTAGGTGCAGAAGACAAAGGCAATCATATTTATTATGTATTTATGTAGCATGAAATAATCTGTCTAAAAAATAACATTCATGGATCTTTGAGGCCAAATGGGGTAAATACATCTATTTGTTAGGTCTCCTGCCTCATGTAGGGTACAGAAATAAAGGCAACAATAGCTACAGCAAGCCTAATAGCTTGTGGTTAAGCTAAAATACAACTTTCCGAAGGTGCTTGATTGCAGACTTCGGGTGGGGTCTAGCAGCCAGCTTATTTTCCAGTCAAACTGGGCTCTGACACAGATGTCCCATGTGGTCTATGTTGCATCTTTTAGAGAAGTACGGTGTAGAAATTTCACAATGTTGGCATCTGAACTGAGGAGTGGCTCAGCCTGTGCACAGCAAGGCTCTGCATAGGGCTGCTCACCCTGGCCGAGGCTCTGAGGCTGCCTGTGTGGTGGATGGAGGGATGGAGATGGGTCCGGTGCAGACAAGCTTTGAGCTGCTCCCTGCCTGAATTTCCCCCTTTTGAAACAGGGACAGTCTCCCTTGTCGAGGTCACAGGGCTGGAATGTAGGACAGAAGTGAGGGACTCCCGTCCCACCTAGCCAGCAGCCACAGAGTTGCCCTCAGTGCTAAGATGTTCTCCTGGGTTATCCTCCAGCCATCGCCAGTTGTGGCTTGGGTGGATGAAAGAGCTGCCCGCTGTCAGAAAGCCTAGCCCACAAGCAGGTCCACCACCAGCTCGCTTCCTATCCTTCCCCGATATCAGCCTGGTGGGTGATGGATGCTGTTGGTTGGGGAGTGACACAATGAGGTCTCGCGCTGGAAGATGGCTTTCGTGGCTCGCCGTGATTGACTGGGGCTGTGCCTCCAGCAGCTCCGCTGCAGCCCTTCCCTTTGCCGCTTGCTTGAGCCGCTCGGGGACGCTGCTTCGCTCACATCACTTCCTTTCGCCTCCCAATTCGGCCGATCAGACGGTCTCGCTCCAGGCAGGGAGTGGTGTTTGAAGGGTGAGTAATGCATCCCTTGTGCTTCCTTCGAGCCCGCCGGCTTACGCTTCTCAGCCGTGGGGTTTGAGGCAAGGGGGGGCAGGGAGAGGCTGGCTGGCTGCTGAAATATTAGCTGCACACCTAGGCAAAAATGCCGTTTTCGACTCAATGCTTCCTTTATCCGTTTGTGCCAGATGTATACATCACTGTCAAGAGCAGGCGAGGAGACAATTTACCCGGTCCCTGCTGCAATTGTTGGTATTTAGGAGTGACTAAGGACCGGAATCACAACCGTACAGTTATAACCCTATTAATAAGCCATGCAGTCATTAGGCGAAAGCTCCTGCATGCATTTTGAGGGCGCTTGGCTCTAATGTCTCCCCCTGTGTGCTTCCCCGCAGCCGACAATGCCAGCCG